ATCACTTTTAATATCGGTCCACAAATCTCACAATAGTTCAGAGAATATCTAAAAGATGGCAATATAAGTTGAACGCAGCCATCATGAATCAAATTGTGTCGAAAAGAAGTGGGGGATGATGGTGACGAGAGGTGGTCCTTTGTTGGTTAAGCCTACCACTCAAAGGGTGGAGTTTGCCACACGCAACTGACTACCTGCAGTTGCAGCATTGGCGTAGAACAGCAGTTTTAAGTAGTATTTATTACAAATAAAAAAAACATAATGTGTATATTATATATTTAATTTAAATATACTTCTAGTGTTAAAAAATCTATAGCCTTAAACTTAAGACGTATAAGTATACTTTAATTTATAACATATTATATATATGTATTTATTTCTTCAACATAGATTTATTAATATTTTTTATAAAAACTTTACATGTATGTCATATTTATAATGATCTTGTTCTTTGTAAATAAAATGCAAATAATATTTACGTTATACATTTTTACGTATTGAAATTTCTTTATACACTTATACATACTTCATACATACGTATTGAAATTAATTCATACATTTTTTAAATTTTTTAAATAAATTATAACGCAAGTTTTAGTTTTAAAATACATATATAGAAACATGAACATTGATTTAAGTCAATAATAGTTTAATAATTAAAAAATAATATTACAAATTTCATTTTAACCATACATTGTAAAGTTAAATAAATTATAGACATGTTTTATTTAAATTACAATTTCATATTTAATAATAAAAGATTTCTTTTAACGTAGATCTTGTAATTTATATTCTGTTTTGGTAAACAACTATTATACCGATGTTCAATCAATAATTCTGTTAGCAGTCTATTTTACCGATATAAACTAATTTGTAATTTTAACTTATTAATTCATCTATTAATCAAATCTAATTTGTATAATATTCATATAACAACTGAGCTTAGAAGTGCAATCAATGCAAACACAAAAACTTGATAGAAAATTCATTATATGTCGATAACATATCACTGGAGAATACTTTCTTTAACAAAGTTTAAAGATATAAAGATCAAAGGCAAAAGGAAACCTGTTAAAGATAAGATCAAAGTTTCAGTATAATATGAACTTTTCTTCTATATCTGCAGTCAGTAACTAAATCATCAATTGAATCATGAATTGCAGTTTAATTTTACTAAAGTAATTATCTTCAGATGGAATTATTATATTTATAATTGATTTCCATTGAGGCAATTCACATTTTCTTTCATTGAAGATATTGTCAGTTTAATATCACAATAATGTGTAAAAGTAATACACAAAAATTTTAAGAAATTTTCTACTTTCTATATATAACATCCACTCTTTTTTATGAAAGGAAACAAGATCACTAAAATTTTTATTTTAACAACGCTTTTACGATAAAAGTGTAACTTAATTTGATAAAATCAGAATGTATCAAAAGCTGTACACAAATTTTTAAAAATCATCATAAAAAAATGTTGTTTTCTCTACATATAAATATATTAATTACAGTAGTAAAAATATATAAGTACATATATTACACATTAACAATTAAATATAAAAATATAGTTAATAATATCATACTTCATTTTGCAAAATTTAATTTTACAAGTCAATATTAGTATTAATACAAGTAATTTTATAACATTATTAGTTTTATTGTTAATATTATTATTAACATTATCCCTAATTTTATTATATATGCCAATATTACTGGTAACGTTATAAGGAATATCCCGCGGGTATGTCAAACTATATTGTGTGTCCATGGTACAGTCCGACTCTCAGCATGAAACATCCTTACTTTTTCGAACCGCATATAAACTTCACAATGGAAACGTAACAATGAAGGTCTAGTATACCTGAAGTTAAAAAGTTAGAAAGAAGACAATAGTTTAAAAGAAATGCCACAAAAATTTTTTCCTTTTATACAGACACGTGCAAATGTAAAAATGTTATTTGCTGAACTTAACAACGCACGTCACTTTATAATAATCAAATATTGTAAAATTAAAAATGTGTGAGAGAGAGAGAGACTCAAATTTATTAAACATGTTTTCTTGCTATACAAAAATTGCTCGATATACTTAATAAAGATACTTAAGAAATTATCCACGAAATTAAGATAAAATCACTTTTTTTATCATCATTTGATATTTGATTTGTTTCCTTTAAAAATGATTATTTCAAATATTAGGATGTGCGAATAGGATGTTTTATACAAAAAAATTAAATTTTATTACAGCGTGTTTAAAATAATAATAAAATAAAACAGCTACTTCAGAAATATTGTGTGCTAATTAGAATATGAAAATGATTAGAATAGACTCTTTTAAACATTATTAAATATATACAGAATAAGAATGGATCATTTCTGTATGCGAACTATAGTATTACGGTTGTATCTATTTTATTTTGTCCGATACTATAGAGAGGTGGTGGTGGTAACTGTCACCGAAGACAATTTATGTTAATGACTGTTCGTAACCGAGGAGAGCCGAGGTTGCTCGACAGAACAGTCTGCAGGTCGCCGTAGCAGCGGTCGGACACGAAGCTCTTTGCTCGACTTTCGAATCCTCCCCACTCTCCCACCCTGAATTCACCACCTTGCCGCGTCCTGACTGTTCCATCCCTACGATGGCGACGCCCAGCGTCGATTCGTGCGCATTTTCATCCCCAGCTCGGAGATTTCGGCTATGGACGCCTCTGCGCTTATCGAATTAAAATCGTTTTGTGATAAATCAGTGTATCAATATAAAATTAGTGCCTTGTTGAGGATACTTTTACGAGCAATTATTGGTAAGTGTTCTTTCTCGTTCTTCTTTCATTGTTAAAATTTGTTCATTGTTATCTGCGAGAAGCAGTGCACCTAAATTTCATGACATAAACTCCTATCTAAAGGATTGCTCGAAACTCAGTCTTAAAATCCATGAAAAGGATACGATACGTTTAGATTCTTTTACGAAGATATAGTGCCAGTTTAACAGAGACACCGAAAGTGGCAGAAAATTTAAGACTTTAATGCATGCGATATATATTGGTGTTCTACATGTTCTGTCTTCTGCCTATTTTTATTGAACGAGACCTGAAAATGGCTACATAGGTACGGAAAAATAATTTGCTTTAGCCCACAAAATTACAAATCTTAGATAATAAGTGAGAAATAACGTTATTTGCTTGATTTTTTTCAAAATCTGTAAAGAGAAGTATTTTTTGTTTTACACAAGTATATATATTGCCAATACGTGCAATATATGAAATTTATGTTGTACTTACAAAGCAAAATGTAAAATCAAACAGATTTATTATTATATTTTTATTTCAAATTAGTAGAAAATGGCAATACCTCAATTGTGCTTATTACAATACATATTTATCACGAAATTAGTACTTTATATAGATTTAAAAAGCTACGATAAATAAAATTAAGTTAGATTAAGAGCGATTCAAAGCATACAACGTCGTACAGTGCATTATGTATTTCTATTAAATAACTTAATATCATTAGAAAGTAATTCTATTTAAAATAATAAGTTAAAAAGGCTCAACAAAGTAACAAATCAATAAATTAAATAAGGGCTACGAGCCTGAGCTATAGGTATTTAATGCTCCAATCACTTGATGTAATTTTATTGGAGCATTAAATACCTAACTCACAGGCTCGTAGTCCTTATTTAATTTAGTGATTAATTCTATTTAATTAAAATAATAGTTTAAGTCTCTATAGTAGTGGGTCATTAATTAGCGGC